TGCCCCATGTAGTCGTACATGTCAGTGATCTGTGTGGCCATCTGCCCCATCTCGTCGTACATGCCACCCATGTGGTCCCATATACACTGTAGGGTGACTGGTGGAGCTGAGCTCTGTGGTTGCATCATTGGCTCGTCTCCAGGCTCCTCCCCATGATCATCAACATTGATGGCATGCACGTATTTCTTTGATAGCTCGTCTCTGGGCTCCGTTCTCCATTCGTTCTGCACGTATTTCTTTGATAGCACCTTTTAGCCTCTCAAACCCATCATGCATCATCCCAGTCATATCCACCAATTGAAATGACAACTGCTTCAGTGTATCACAGATGGACTTCTGAAAGTCATTGAATTCTTTTCGACACATCACCATATGCTTTTGTGTGGCTTTCAACACTTGCATAATTTCACCCTCATCGTGTTGTTGTTTCTCATCATGAGTCATCGTCTAAATCAGTTTAAAAAACATTCAAATCAGAATTCAACTTCAAATGTGTACAAATGACCAACAACAGAGATTAGGTCGACCATAAATATTATGTGGTCGACCTCATATACCTAATGTCGTAATTACCAGAACCATTTAGGTCGACCCATAATCGTAACAGAGTCTTACAAACAAAGCCAAAATCGACATTTGGGACAAACAAACAAACAAACAAAACTAACACATACGATCGACCATGATACAAATTGGGCCGACCGAATCCTCTTATGCAAGCAACTAAACCATCAAATTAAACGAAGCAAATTACGAAAAAATAATCACGACACCCTTAGCTAAAATCGGTGGACCTTACCTTGGAAGTGGTCGGCCGCGTGGAACACGTACATGAACAACCACCACGATCTTCTTCTTCCCCAAAACTCTAACCCTAGAACATGAAAGCAAATAAAATCAAACGAAGCAAATTAGTATAGAGCGAGGACAACATCATACCCTAAATTAGGTCGACCTCACCTTGTATGAGGTCGACCATCTGGATCCCGAACAGGAAGAACAAGCAACAGTCTTCTTTTTCACCAAAACTCTAACCCTAAAAAAACCAAATCACGTGTTTGAGTGGCGGTCACTGTGACATATAATCTTATTTATAGTTGTTTAGGACGAGATTAGGGCGAATTAAGTGGTAGACAAGTTAGGGTTACATTTCTAGTATTGGACTCCTTATTCAATACAAATAGAGTAGATTCGGTCGACCACGTAACTCACAGGTCGACCATTTCTACTTTTTCTACTATTTTCGGAAACATGTTCGAGTTTGGTACTGACTAGTTAATTCGAAATGCGATAGAGGTCGACCTTTTTAAAACAGAAGTCGACCTTTTAATGCACATGGTCAAGCGTTTTAACATACGATGTCGACCTTTTATGTTGTCCGCTTGCCAAATAGGTCGACCTTTTGATGTACAAGGTCAACCACGTTGTTGACAGTTACAAAACAAAATTAGTAGATTCGGTCGACCATACTTAACTTTCGTTCGATCGAAAAGTGCAAATTATGCTGAAGTCCAAAAATTTATACATTCTCTTAACTTAGGGGTCGTTTGGATGATGAATTGTAACAGATCAATTTGACACAATTATCTTGTTTTGAGACAATTGTACCAAATTGTCTCGTCTGCCAGCAAAACATTTGGATGGATCAATCTGCCTGAGGTATTTTGAATTGGTCCGTTTTGAGTCAATTTCAATTACCTGGGGTGAGAGCAGGTAATTCAAATTGATTCATTTTAATTGTCTCGTTTATAAAAGAGACCATTGATCAAATTAACTCATTTCTAGATTGATCCATCCAAACCACTAGGGGTGGGCATTCGGTCGGTTCGGTTCAAACCGAACCGAAATTATGCATACCAGGTCCCCGAATTCTATCAACTCTCAAACCGAATTCGAACCAAATTATAATTCGGTTCGGTCAGTTCAAACCGAATTATAATTCGGTTCGGTTTTTCATACAAAACCGAAATAGTGAGGTTAGCTTGTATCTTCTCTTTTTTAAATGATTTTTCACCCTAATGTAAACAATAAATATGTATCATCAATGATAAAATCAAACATTTCAACACATAAGTCATAAAACACTAACATGATTCAAATATTTAAGTCTCATAATAAGTAGAAACATAAAAATCCACCATTTAGAGCTTGCAATTATAATAATTCGGTTTTTCGTTCGGAATTCGGAAATTCGGTTCGATCGAAAGGACCCTGATTTCCGAAATATACTCTTTTCTCTTTCGAATTCCGAACCGAATAACATTAATTCGTTTCGGTTCGGTATGGCCCACCCCTACAAACCACCACTTAAACTAATTCGGCGCCTATCAATAAAAGATAGAAGTTTTATGATACTGCATATATATTAATGATGATATATGAATATGATTAATGAAACGTATCCCCAATCACTCGATTGAGATTCTTCGCTTCATATTTCGATTCCAAAAATAAGATTGATTAAGAATTCAGGAGTCTTCTTTTCCACTTTCCTCGGTGCCGGCGATTTACTTCCTCCACCTCCTTGTGAAACTCGGAAGCCGAAACCCAAACCGCACCAACCCTTCTGAATCTCCGCCGGCTGGGGAGAGTTCCCCCTGCCTCTTCCCTCTTCCCTCGTTCTCCTCTGGCGAACCCGAACTTTTCTTGATCTTAGATCTGAGGGTTGCATATCTGCTAATCTGGCTTGTGGGTAAGCTAATACTCTTTCTGTTATTCACGGGGTTTTGGCGTGCGTGACTTGAATGTCGTCCTGGTCATTTAGACTGGCAAGGTGAAGGTTGTTCCTTGGTGCGATTCCTTAATTGGGTTACGCTCTAGTTCAAATGTTTTCGGCTCTCGATTTTTTCCACTCTCGATGAAGTTTTTTTCTCAATAACTCTGTAAAACGTATGATGTGTATACTTGCTTTCCTTCTTTTTCTTCATTATGGATTTTATTTGCTAGTTGTTTGTTAGTCCTTACCTTCTGTTTTGGGTTATCCCAATATTCTTTGGTTTTCTTCTCTGTCTTGAATAAGCGATGGTTTGCGAACCAACAGGAGCTTAGTATTATCAGGAGATGGATATAACACATGACTGTCTGCTGTTATAACTGCTACTTGACATTCCTCTCGGTTGTTAGTTGCGTTGCGGCTCTAGTTACTTTCACCAGTTTGTTAGTGTGTTATACATTCATCCAAAAAGCCTGCAGAAAATGTTCATGTACTTTTGGCTTGCTGCTGCTGGTAGCATATCAGGGTCATAAGAACATAAACAAATTTATCTATTCACACTAGCGGGAGGGGTAGCATAAAAAACTTAAGGCAACAATTGTTTTTAGACATCTTGTGAACATTCCTTAACCTGATTCCATCTATTTGTTGGATTTTGCCACTGTGGGCCTTTACATCTACAATTATGATTTATTAGTCTTGTCTCTTTTTGTTTAACAGCTTAGAGGAAACCTATGCTACAAAATTTACTTGATTGATCTAGTGTTCTTGAACCAATTAGTTGTTTGTGTTATAAACTCCAAAAATATAGTAACTACTGTGTCATGTAGCTATAACCAATGTGCAGACTAGAAAAGTCGGGAAGAGAAAGTCGACAGGGAAATCTCATTTGGACCTACACCAGTTGGATATGCGTAGTGGTGGTAGATTGTGGAGCATTGATTTGTTTATTTTCTGAAGCCCTTTTATTAATAAATTAGAGTTATGCTAATGGCTAACACATCAATAATTAGCTATTTGCTGCTCTGCTACTATTTGCTGTTGGCTACAGTAGTACCAAAAAATGAACTTCAATCGATGGTGGTGTATATGGCTAATAGCAGCTGCAGGCTATAATGTCATCCATGCATAAATGTAGTTTGGATGATAGTATTATTATGAGTGATTTGGTTGATGGTTGGACATTGAAGTATTTGAGATCACTAGTGATGTGTTTAATGATGGTTGAACAATTATGTACGGTATATGTAGTTTTATTTTTATGTGATTTTGATATTCTTAGACGTAATATGGTTGTTTTGGAATTAATTTAGATTTTTAAGATGTAGTTTTGAATTTTTATAAGTTAATTAGGGTTTTTAGTTGCAATTGGTTTTTGGAATTAATTTTTAATTTTCTTTAATTTATCCGAATTATATGGAATTAATATTGTATTTTTTTATATATTAGTTTGTACTTTTTGATGTAGTTTGAATATTCTCACAATCACAAAGCTTGTCTCTTTGCAGATTTGCTAGAGTGGTAGTCTCGAGTTAGGCTATTTGTTACTGTACTGTGTGCATGTTATGTATTTTTTGAGAATGCCCGGCCATCTTTGACAGTAGCATTCTGCATAAACTGCTTTCACAAAAACAGCATTGTTTTTTTCGAGAAAATCTTGACCAATTTGGTCAAGATATATTGCAATAAAAGGGATAACAATTACTGGAAACAATGGGTTTACTCGCTGGCCCACCCGGCCACGATGGGTTAGACAGGGCCTTACAGGAAATAGGGCAGGGTCAGTTAGATGCTATGGATCTGTAGGGTCGGGTTTGACGCTGACCCTGAACATACACCACCTACCAGACCCAGTTTCAGGACTAAATTGGATTGGATCTAGTGGTTTCATTCATTCTGTACATTGGTTCTGGTTTTCGCAGCAATCGCATTTCGCTTTCTGCTATCGTCATCCAGCTCTTGATTGATTGCTTGAATTGGAATTCGTGCGCAGACGAGATGTTTTAAGTAACCACTCAACTCAACAAATTCAATTTAGCTAGTGTCGTCTCTCTCTGGTTAGTAGGCTTCTAACGGCTCTTCCGTATCGATCAATCATTTCATGTGTATTGCTTTCTGAATTCTGTCTTTTACATACGGCCTTCATTTTAGATTGATTGAGATGGCGTTGTAGTCTTGGGAATTCGCTGCTCCTTCAGCCGCAGGCCATCCATCGTTGGATGTGCTCAGCCTCCTCAGAGCTTCCCCTCTTCCTTGGTTGTTTGTTAAATCCCAACAGCGCCTGAGGATGTCGCATTATCATGCCGTCCAGCGGTTGCTGTCAGTGTTCCAAAGCCAGGCATCCGGCGGAGGACAGTCCATCCTTGACTCCATAAAAATTGCCGTACTCCCCATAGCAAAAGTCTTTACGATGTGCTTCTTGGGATTTCTCATGGCCTCCAAGTACGTCAACATCTTGCCCGCTTCTGGAAGGAAACTCTTGAACGGGGTAACTCAGTCAATTAAACAAAATTATGTATTGATTAGCATTCTTCATCTTTTCCTTCTTTTCTTTTCATTTCCTGATTCTTCCTTCGCCATCCCAGTTGGTCTTCTCGCTTTTGCTACCCTGTTTAATCTTCTCACAGCTTGGCCAGGCTGTCACTCTCCAGAAAATGCTAGAGTGGTAATTACTCTCTCTGCCTTATCCCTCCTTCCATTGCTGTGTGTGTAGGGAATAGGCCATATGTTGTTTGGTTTTCACATTGCTTGTTTCCCCTTTTCCAGGTGGTTTATTCCCGTGAATGTTGTCCTGGGCAGCATCTCGGGATCAATCATTGGATTCATTGTTGCATCCATTGTGCGACCTCCTTACCCATTCTTCAAGTTCACAATCGTACATATTGGAATTGGTTAGTCTCCTCTTCCCCGCACTCAGTGTTGGTCAAGTGCCAGAAATAACTTCTTCCATCCCATTCTCATCCTATACAATGAGCAGTTCAATGCACATTCAGCTTGTGTAACGGAAGACAAATTAGAACCGCAGGGGAATTTTTTTTTATTGTTTTGCTTTGGAGTTTAGATTGCTGCAGAGGCTATGCCTTATTTCTTTTGATTCTAAACTTCAGATGGTTTGGTGTTTACTTCCTGTGCATGCAGGGAACATCGGCAATGTGCCTCTTGTCCTGATTGCTGCTTTATGTAGAGATGCATCTAACCCTTTTGGCGACTCGGAAAAATGTAGCACAGATGGAACTGCTTATATTTCATTTGGCCAGTGGGTGGGTATCTGGCCACACTTACCAATTTCTGATGGTCATATTTCAGTTGCCATTATGGATGATCCTGCAGAGGGGTTTTTGCCTACAAGTTTGAATGGATTTTGATCTTTTATGCTTTATGCTTTGTGAGTTTGTTTGTTTGTTTAACCTACTCAGCTCATGGTCTGTTGTGCCACTTGTTTCTGCATTATTGAAGTATAATCATAAAATTATATTAAGTTCTGTTTGCATGTCCTAGAGTAAGAACTTCAAAACACTTCTGGTTCTCTCTAACAAGCAGGATATTTTCCCTGGAATCCAATTGTATTTTGAGTGTGCTTAGCTTGCTGCATAACAACTATTATGGGCTCCATTTCCCTCGCGTTTACAGTTTGACAGATTGCAGCACATTTTATGTCTGTGTATCCTGAATAACAAGTTTTGGTATATGTATGCTAGGTTGGTGCTATCATCCTTTACACATATGTATTCAATATGTTGGCGCCTCCTCCAGAAGGTACCTTTGATATTGAAGATGGAAATGTTCCAATCAAGAGCCCTCTAAAAGATGCACCATTCGAGCAGCTTCCCTTACTAAGCCATGAAAACGTGTTTAAAGAGTCGGGGGCTTCAAAGAAGGAAAAGGTGAGATCCATTATGAGTCGACTAACCCCGTTATATATGATATGGCTTCATGTTGCTTTGACTGGTCTGTCCATGGCGAATACCTGTGGATACTAATATCCGGTTGCAAATTAGAAGTGTTTAATTGGTCATTGAGATGACACATTGGTTTGAGGAATCTGATATTTAGCTACTATTGACAAATAAAAGAAGTCATCTGCAGGTTTGAATGACAATTGAGATTATAGTTGATATTTGTTTATCCTGATATGCATAGCAATTCTGTTAGATTCCGAGCCACTATTTATCCTTAGAAGCTGTTAAATCAACATTTTATATATGTAGTGATTTAATATAATATCAAGATTATAATGATGTAACTTCCTCAGTTGTCACTTGATCTTATGTGTCTCTTCCTGTTTCTCTTAACTATGGGAAAGAACATTGTGTGATATGTGCAAGACTGGTTCACTATGTCTTACATTTGTGGGTCTTGTTGTTTACAGATTATGGAATTTCTAGTTCTACTATACGATAAGCTCAAGCTCAAGCAAATCCTTCAACCCCCAATAATTGCTTCAGTAAGTTTCTCTACTTGCATATCTTCAACCTACCTTGAATAGAACAATTGATGTTGATCCAGAATGCCAGCGAGCATCTTAGTTACCTAAAAGGGAGCCTTGTGCGATGGTGAGATTGTTAGAAACAAAGTTTCTAACGGGTTATGGATTGGATGATATTTGGGAATTTAGGGATTTAAAGGATGGAATTAGGGATTCAGAAGTAGAATTTGGGGAAGAAGAGAAGAACAAGAATCGACCGAAGCCTTGGATTTGGGAAGAAGAGAAATCAGGAGATAGAGAGGGCTTAGGATTTGGGAAGATTGTTATTCTATATATTTATGCTTTTTCGTACAAATGACCCAAAGTGCATATTTATAGCTAGAGACTGGAATAAACCTAATAAATAACCTAATACGACTCGAATACTACTAACCCTAACAATAATTATCCTACCATAATTAATAATGATAAACACGAAAAATCGTGTTTCTAACAGAGATACAGACTATAAAAAACTGCTTGAAGGCTTGAGACATGCTTCTTCTTACACGCCTGTACGACGTCATATTTATCCTGATGTTTTTTCGGTTTTTCCTAAAACAAAAATGGTTCTTGTTCCTCTCTTTTGTTGAATACATAGTATTCATTGCGTTCTCTGCTGAAACTTGCTGAGCACAATGCAATAAATTGGTGAATTGCCAAAACTAAAGTAAAACACAATGTTGCAGAAGTATCTTACAGACAAGGAAAGGTGTACATACTGTATCCCTAAAATGATTAGGTAGAGCAAACCTAATCCTTTCATCTTGTATATTTGCTTGAGGCGAGAAAGGAGAGTGAAACTGGAGCTCTAGCAATAGTCTCAGTTGTTTGAACTCTTCATAAGAATTAGAGTTTCATTTTCTACGACGAAGTTGTGAATATATATTCATTGTAAAATGAAGTTGTGAATGTTTAACTTACAACTGGACTCGTATACAAAGCTTGTATTAACACTATCTAGAACTTCTTACAATCTTCACACTAGAGGTGGGGACATGTTGGTCTGAAGGAGCCGGTTTAGAATAGTTTTGTGCCGATCTGGAATTTTCATAATATGCAGGTTCTCATGATTCTAGTCTTCTGTCCTTGGTTTTATTGTGTGCAGATATTAGCTATGTTTCTTGGTGCAATACCATTTCTTAAACGACTGATTTTCACAAGTGATGCCCCACTGTTCTTTTTTACCGACAGCTGCATCATTCTTGGGTATGCTAAATTGCAGCTCGTACTCGAGAAATGCTTCTCACTTCTTGCTCTTTGTTACCAACATGCTTCAAGATTGTGAAACTTGTATGCACATGAAAATGCTAGCATATGATGATGCTTGGTAGTTCCAATTATAGTGGATATTGGTGTTTTAATCCGAAGAGGAGAATTTGATGGCAAGCACACAACATCTTTTCTAGTGTAAATGGCAATTAAGCTGATGATAAAGCCTTGATGCTCTGCTTATATATGACAGCAAGTGATGTACTGCAGGGATACATGAGGACTGTTTCTAATTGGATGAAAGACTATTTGGAAGTAGATCTACCTGCATGTTGAACTGTTTGTTATTTATGTCACACTAGTCTGTGTAATGTACATCGATGTGGTATCTCAGTAACACGTTTGGTAATCAGATCCATGGATAATTCACCTTTCCATTCCATGTCTGTTGAATGAGGTGACCCTGTCTTTTACCTTGACATCCATTGATTCATTGTTGCTTGATAATAATGTAACAGGGAAGCTATGATTCCGTGCATATTGTTGGCTTTAGGTGGCAATCTCGTGGAGGGTAAGTGAATTCTTTTGTTGATGATCATCTATCTTGAGTTAATGTTTCCAGATTGCACTAGAATTATGCGGGTAATGCCATAAATTGGATGACCGTCCGTTTATTGGTTTGGGTTGCAGGACCAGGTAGCTCTAAGCTCGGTCTACGGACAACTGCTGCTATTATTTTTGGTCGGTTGGTTTTGGTACCCCCGGCTGGCCTTGGAATAGTTACATTGGCTGATAAGCTGGGTTTCCTCCCTGCTGGTGATAAGATGTTCCGGTTTGTTTTACTTCTGCAACACACAATGCCAACGTCGGTCCTATCTGGTACTGAAACCTGTCGGTCCTTTCAATTTCCTCTTTAGTGCTGACAACGTTATTCAGCATTGAAACAGTAATTATGAATTATTGCAGAAGGGAATTTTATTTAAAAATGGTCTGAGTTTGTGTTGTGTCTGTCATGGACCTACTATTTAACAGGTGCGGTTGCCAGTCTAAGGGGTTGCGGAAAGGACGCTGCTGCTGTATTGTTCTGGGTTCATATTTTTGCTGTCTTCTCAATGGCAGGGTGGATAGTTCTCTATCTCCACCTCCTTTTCTAAGAAGACGGGCGAAATTTCATTCACTCCACCCTGCACTCTGCTGTTTTACTGAGGCGATCAGTGGGAAGTAGCATCATGTTGATGGATAGGGGTGGTGGTAAAGTATTGATTGAAACCTTGTGTAATTTGTAGTCTGTAATTAAATTGATTACTCGCATGATCCTACTTTTCTCCTTTCACATCACAACTCTGAAGTGTTAATTGCTACCGCTGAAGTCCCTTCTCATAACAGACTTTTGAAGTCCTTTTCAACCTACTAGTCTTGCCTGATTCAGCTGCAGGAAGTTGAAAATAATCAAAATATGTGATCCATAGCTATAGTTATTAGGTTAGTATATTAGGTTTTTCCGGTCTCTAGCTATATAAATATGTATTATAGGTCTTTTGTTGAATTAAGCGGAATATTAATGAGAAAGTTATCACTCTCAAAACCCTAATTTTCTCCTCTCAATCTCGTCTTCACCTCTACCTAGGCCGCCGGGCGTCGGCCATTCTTTCTTCCTCATCCTCTCGCGTTCTAATCCTTAATTTTCATTCTATATTCCCGAATATCAATCAAACCCCATTCTCAATCTCGTCTGATAGGTACGCTATAAATAGGTTTCTATCATCTGGTATCATAGCCCAGTTCTGGATATGAGTTTGTCACAACTCTCAACCGGGGACGAGTTCTATAACCTGATTACCATGGTACCCGAGCGAGTATATGAAGATCTCGTACCTGACTCTTTAAGATACGAACATCGCAATCGTGTTAGCCTATTCTATTCCTTGCCTGGATTCAGGGAAGAGCACGTAGTCGTACAACAAACTGCGAATGTGCTTACAATTACAGCGGAGTGCCCACTAGGAGGAGAGAAGAGGATTAGGGATTTGGGGAGATAAATTTCTTATTAAATATTCTGCTTAATTCAACAAAAGACCCATAATACATATTTATATAGCTAGAGACTGGAAAAACCTAATAGACTATCCTAATATGACTCAAAAACTACTAACTACAACTGGATAAATCCTAATAATATTAATGATGATAATTATGATAGAACCTAAAAATTAGGTTTCTATCATCCCCTCCCTCTTGAGACCAACCTTGCCCTCAAGGTTGACCGACTCGATCACTCCTCCACATAGTTCGCCCAAACCGCGCATTGGCTCCACCCTCTTTTGCGCTTCCCTTTTCTTCCAATCATGTTCGAACTTTTCACTTGAACCTCTTGTACCGATCTCCTCTCGTTGGCCCGACTCCTTGAATCTCTTTTGCATGGGCCCACTATTTGCTCCCGAGGTCAAACTCCAATAGCTCCTCAAGACCTTCAAACTTCTTTCTTGAAGCTGGCCCATTAATTTGCTCTGCTGAGCCTCCAATCTTGTTCGGGCCAGGCTCCTTTAAAAGCCCACCTCTGTCTTCTTTCCAATTCATGCTCTGAATACTAGATCCAACAATACAACCTATAAGTTGCCCAATTATCTTCCAGAGGTGCGGCCCGGGCTTGTAAGTGAGGCCCACTGCACATGCTTTGTTTGACCCGTACCCAAGCAATCCTGACCTAGGCCCGCTCGTTCATCTGTCTGGTCCCAATGGACCCCGCTCATCATCACTTCTGGCCCAAGACATGGCCCAGTGATCTCCTTCCTCCTTATCCGCTCGTGACCCAGGCCTAGTCGGGCCACTAACATCGGCCCATCGTTCTTCCACTCCTAAACCAACTCGTGGCCCACTTCCTCATAGCCTAGCAAACTCCCGGCCCAAGTGATTCGGCCCGACGAAGTAGTCTTCTGCTTGGTAGAAAGGGCCAGATGTGGCGACTTAGGGTTTGTGGGCGGAAGCACCCCGGCGTACTTCTCTTTTCCTCCGCCAGAAGACCAGCCTTCGCCGCTCTTCTCAGCTCCGGCGGTGGCCTCGTCGACTCGTTCTCCGACACTTCCTTTTCTCTAATCGACGGATCCACCACATGATAGAAACCTAATTTTTAGGTTCTATCAGTACACCCTTGGTGGACGTTCTTAATTCAAATTTGGTGGTTCATACCATAAATCCATAATCATGTGCTGTGGAGGCTTGGATCCTAGTCCTGGAAGGAATGAGCGTACTGCGGAGCCTGTAGCAAAGAGGCAGGCCAGGCGTAATGTACCACACCGTGCAAATGCTGCAAAGAGTCAAACTCATTACAAATTGGGGAACCTTCATCTCCAAATTTGGGTTTATTCATCATTTTTTTTTCCAATGTTACTATCTCCAAATTTGGAGACCTCCATCTTTTCTATTTTTTTTTACTTAAAAAAATGTATTTATGATAATCTTAGTCTAATTTGTTCATGTTAATTTTTGTATAGTTCGTCATCATTTTTAAATACAAATTTTCGATAGAATTTTTCAAATTCCGAGATCATATTGTTTTTAGCGAAAATGAACATACTTTTAATTTATGTCATTTTTAAGAGATCAATACAAGAAGAGTAGGGAAAAAAATTAAACAAAAGGTGATACGAGGAGAAGAAGTATCGCTACACCAGACTGATGAAGATGAAACGACCCAATCAAAAAACGGCTCCGCCTTTCCGAACAAGGACACTATTTAATGATATCAATAGCTTTGAACCTGGGGGTCTTAGATTAAATATATTAAGTAGTAACTAATAACAAAAAATATATTAAGTAGTAACTCACTATCCTGATCCGCCCACAAGAACGGAGGAGCTGATCGCTTGGACGCCGCCTCCTCCCGAGTGGGTCACTCTCAACTCAGACGGCTCCGTTCTACCTGAGACGGGTCTCGCAGCTGCAGGAGGCCTTATCAGGGATTATCTTGGACGCTGCATGGCAGCGTTTGCTATGAACCTGGGGATTTGCTCCATTACCCGGGCAGAGTTGAGAGGCGCTGTTAAGGACTTCAACTGGCTTGGGACATGGGATATAGACGCGTCCGCATGGAGCTTGACTCTCGGTGTGCTATTCAGCTGATTCAGGGAGAGGATACTTCAGATCACCCACATGCAGCGGTCATTGACCGATTCCACGAGCTTCTTCGGCGTGACTGGGACGTTACAGTTTCCCACATCTACAGAGAGGGGAACAAGAGTGTTGATTTTCTTGCTTCTAGAGGCCACCAGTTGGATCTTGGTTTACACTTTGTACCTGTTATTGATCTTGCTTTATGGTTTTATCTCTTGTATGACATTGAAGGGGTTTCCGAATCCCGACTAGTTTTGAATGAAGATTAGGATGCTTCGCATCCATTTATAAAAGAAAAAAACTTATATCACCATTATTAAAAAAACTCCGCCTATAATAATAAAACCTGCAAAACAAGCTAGCCAAAAGATCATAAATTAAATATATATATATATATATATTTTTGCCAATACAAAAGATCATAAATTATATTAAAGCGAAGAAAAGGGCACACAATAAAAAAAGTAGGAATATTGAAATAACAGCCAGAAAATTGTACTTAATTTTAAAGACAGAGTATTGCCAATGACCACTGATTGACATCAATTTACTTCTTTTATCGAATGGTACTTTAATTGTTCTCTTTCTTCCACCGAGGGTTGAGGAAAAGAATGTGAAGGTTGGTTGGTTATACAGATTACAGATTGGCAGGGGACGGAGAAACGAACTGGAATGGAATGTTGCCCCTCCCTCCACCATCAACCAACCACGCCCATTGTAACCTTACTTTTTTCTGTGGGCTCGGTTTGGCTGCCAATTTTCAAGTTAGCGCTCTTCCTCCTGCTTCCCTTTCTCTCTTTTCATCTCCTCCCCTGTTCCAACTCTCTCTCTCTCTCTCTCTCTCTCTCTCTCTGTATCCGGCTCTGGGCCGCCGTCCCAATGGTCTACATTGTGGTTGTCCGATTGAGTAAGGGCTGATGTAAACGCGGGTTGCTTTCGTCTGATTGGAAACGGAAACCTCAGAAAACAAAAGGAAGAGAAGGATTTTTATTTCGATTTCGATTTAGGGATACAAAGATAGATAGATAGACAGACAGATAATAATGGCGTATAGGAGAAGGCAGGGGATCACGAAATCGTCCACGTTCGAAGAAGAGCCACACCACCGGCCTTCCCTGTCCGAATCACAAGGCTTACTGGAGTATGCCGCGGCAACGGTGACAGCCACCGCAAAGCCCAAGCTGACGCCTTCCCATACCTTCAATTCCTCTTCCACACTCGCCGCGGATGCTATCAGAGCCTCCACCTCCCATCGCAGCCAATTCGGCTCTCACTCTCCCATTCGATCGAACAAGGTCGGTCGTATCTTTTTCGTGCTTCCTCTCTTCCTTTTTTTCTTCCTTTCTTTTCATTCTATCCCGTCCAATTCCGCTTTTTGTTTGTGTTGCTGCGTAGATCTTCGATGCGTATGAAGATAGATCGCCCATGAGCGGTTCCAAAGGTTTCTGGGGCGTTCTTGCTCGCAAAGCCAAACCCATTATGGAGGACGAAGAAGAACAAGACGCCAACAATAACAACAAGGACGATACCATTTTTGGTGCATCTCCACGGCCTGTTTCACCAGCAGCCACGTCCAGGTTCCAGATGTCGCCTTCTGATACCTCCACCCCTGCTGCTGCTGGTATCCATGTAAGACTTTTCTTGTGTATTATCGATTGACAGGAGAGGGAGCATCGAATTGAATGGGAAATCAATCAAACAGAGAAATCAGTTTGGGAATGATGAGAATATTTGTTACGTGCTGTTGTTACAAGCTGTTATTCTGTCTGCATTCTGCTGTTTTGTCTTGGTTTGCAATTAATCTCATCTTCTCCGTACTCAGCAATTGCATTCCACGTCTGATGGGCTTGAGAGGAAGATAGACAATCCTGCAATCAAGAACCGCCTCGATAAGATTAAAACCTCCCTCAATCACATTGGCGACACCTTTGACAAGGCTTTTGAGGTGTGTTTCCTAACAAACGAACATTCTGCCCTATTGCCTTCCTACCATCTTCATTGCCACATTCAACTTCTTAACTTCTTTGCTTTACCCTTCTACTGCTTGTTCCAGGAGGGTCGGACCATGGTGGAAAATAAGACTGCTGACATCATCCAAGAAACCCGCAAACTGCAAGCTAGGCGTAAAGGAGGAGCTGGTCCTCACCAAAATCAACAACAAAATCCTTCATCTCAGCCAGAGAAACACATGAACCCTGAAACTCAACTCAAGGCATCTCGCGATGTAAGGTGGCAACTATGTTATTGTGGCTTTGTATGAATGAATTGAGCCAATGCTCCAACATAATTCACCAACCCGAATATAGACCGAACCTGCCCTTGTTTGTCTGAACTCAGTTTAGACCTGCTGCATGGCATTGTACTATTACAGGCTGCTGGAACAACCGCATTTGACTGAGCATATACCATCACTGAGCGACTGACTTTGCACCAAGCTCAGAAAATATAGACCCACATCAATTTAGTAGGAACTAAGGAGGGAGTGTTAACATATCACTATCATGATTAGATACAGGCGAACAAAGCTGATTGTTGGTTTGGCTTTTGGCTCGCAGGTGGCGATGGCAACTGCTGCAAAAGCAAAACTGCTTCTCCGGGAGCTGAAAACTGTGAAGGCTGACCTTGCCTTTGCAAAACAGAGATGTTCTCAGCTAGAAGAAGAGAACAAGATCCTCAGAGACAGCCGGGAGAAGGGTGGAAACCCAGCCGATGACGACCTGGTACTCAACTCTGCTCGACTTATTATAGTGCTATGTTTGCTTTGCTGTAGGTTATAAGTTATAACAATATAAAAGAAATCTTTGTAGAGACTGCTGATGCACATAAATTGTGATCTGGAAAACAGATTCGGCTCCAACTGGAGACACTATTGGCAGAGAAGGCTCGACTAGCAAATGAGAATGCATTTTATGCTCGAGAGAACTGTTATTTGAGGGAAATTGTGGAATATCACCAACTGACGATGCAGGATGTGGTTTACTTGGACGAAAGCGGTGAAGAGGTTTCGGAAGTTGACCCCATCTCCAATTTGATGACTATGTCTCCCCCGCTGACTCCTCCCTCACCTTCTGCATCGGGGATGATCCCTACTGCAACCGAGAGCTTCGAGGAAGCCTTCCCAGTGATAGATGATGATGTAGCACGGATCCCAGACACCCCTGCTACTGGGAAGAAAGGTACCAAAAGCGACAAGGAAGATGCAGAGGGTATTACTGCACTAGTAATCCAGGAGGAACAAACTCCAAAAGTGATGTCACTTTCGACAACTTAGAAGTCGCCTGCTCCTCGTCAGGTTGCGTTGTGTTGCTTTCTCCTGTGAGAGTTGTCTGTTGTGAATAGGATTAGTGTGCTACGTCTGTACTTATTCATAGTTGTTTGTCTGGGTCTCCCGTTCTTCTACCATGGTGGTCCGCGGGAAAAGGTTTTGGCCGGAGAAGCATTTTTCCTTATTCTTCTTCTCATATACGGACACTGGAGAAATCATTCTTTATTTTTGGTGCATGAAACATTGTAATTGTCGAAGTGGCTGTTACCCACTGATACTGAAGGGTGTTGTCGACATACTTCCTGAGCTCTTCCTAAGCTGTTTGCCCCCGGACACACAGGGACACAGTAAGGTTTGGTCTGTACTTTGTTATTTGCCAATCAGTAACCACGAGTTAGTAGGCATCACGAAGGGAAGCAGCACCATCGGTCAAAATTGTAGTTCAAAGCAAAAAAGTATGAAGACATTTTTTTATTTCCATATGAAATGCGTACGCTTTTTGATACAATTTTCTGTGCACTGTATCAATTTTTGGCGTTCAGTGCTCAGCTCCCCCAGCGTCCGGATTTGTTGCCTGGCATCATCAGTGAGAAACTCCCTTCTTCCAACAGGCTTCCCGTATGCCCAAACTCATCCCTTCACCTTCAGTCTCAAAATCCGCAATCGCATGTCGTTTCCCATTATCTCACCACTCCAGTTTGATTCTCCAAGTTCCTCACAGCTGCTCCCACACCCCACCGCTGTGACCATTACTTTCTCTATCCCCCGTCCTCTCACGACTCATCGCATAACCTGCAATCGTGCGGTCACCGCTTCAGTCCTCTCCCTTTCACCTCTCTGGTTTGTTGCTGGGACCTCTACCCACCCATTCCAACACGCCAGCTCCCATGATTTTTCCGCAGTGGCCCTTACTCGTTGAGGTAAGACCTCTCTTCTCTCCTCTCCTCTCCATCGATCTTTCTTTTTTTCATATATTGGAGATGCAGCTACAGGTTACAACGAAGGAAGCATGTTGATCTCCTAAAGCACTAAGGATTTCCATACGACAACGTTTCCCTCAGAAGCAACCGAGGAGCTGAGTAGAGTGTTGTCGTTTTGATTGTGTATTGGAGGTTTCCGTTTTTACTGTATACATCACAGCTGTCTTTGTTTCATTGGTAGATAGTTTTGGTTCATTTATTACCGTTACCTTGAGGTAACTTTGTACAACAGAGTCTCCTTCTTGGAGAAGTAGATGGAATGAATAAAAGGCCTTGAGCCACCACAAGATCCCTTTGCGGGTTCTTTCACAATACCTCTGTTGTTTTCTCATATGGTATCAGAGCCTGGTTCCCAGAACTAGGGTTTTGTTTTCCGCCATACCCGCATTCTTCCTTCTACCAACTTTCCTTTCCTTTCTTCTCTTCATCGGCCATGGCGACTGAAGCAAGTACAAATTCCAGCTCCAGTTCCACCATTGCCACCACTACTCCTCTTACCACAGTCACCAAACCCTTTACATAAACCCTAATGAAGCCTTGAGCTTCCCAATCAAGCTCACAGGTACTGCAAACTACAACCTGTGGAGCAGAACCGTTCGAGTTGCCCTGAAGAGCAAGAACAAGCTGGGTTTCATCACTGGGCCTATTCCTGTTCCATATCCAACAGATGCAAGTTATCAAGCCTGGGAACAAAGCAATACAGCTGTTTACTTCCTGATTCTAGGGTCCCTTGACCCAAGCCTGGTAAATAGTCTCTTCTAAAAAATGCCAAACTTCTTTGGGATGATTTAAGACAGCGTTATGGTCAAACTGATAACATCAGAATCAGTGACCTCCAGACAGCTGTGTATACCCTAAAACAAGGTAACAAGTCTGTAAACCAATTCTACTATGAGTTGAAGAGTTTCTGGGAAGAATTAGTTCAATTTCTGCCAATCCCTAGTTGTGAATGTGGAGGAGAACATAGGGATAGAAATATACCTTGTGTTACTAAGACCACAGTGAAGAAATACAGAGAGAATGAGTTTGTGACTCGTTTTATTACTGGTTTGGTTTGAGTGACTCGTTTTAGATCAGATCAGGGTGCAGAGTATCATATACCTGAGTTTTACTCCCAACATGGGATCATTCACCAAATGTCTTGTGTCGAAACACCGCAGCAAAATGCCCGCGTGGAAAGAAAACATCAACATATCCTAAATGTAGCTAGAGCCTTAAAATTTCAGTCTGGACTTCCTCTTAAATTCTGGTAAGACTTTATCCAACATGCTATTTTCCTCATTAATAGGCTGCCTACTGCTGCCATTGCCAATAAGACACCCTATGAGGTTTTATATGGACATCCAACAGATTTATCAGACCTGAAGATCTTTGGTTGTTTGTGCTATGCTAGCACTTTGGGGCATAACAGAACTAAGTTCTTACCTAGAGCCAAGCAGTGTGTGTTTTTGGGTTATCCAATGGGTATTAAGGGATATAAATTATTTGATTTACAAGATTAGAAGGTATTCATGTCCAGGGATGTAGTCTTCCATGAATCAATCATTCCTTACCTATCTGAGTTATCTAATTCATCCTCCACAGATATCCCTGCCATTCCCATGTTTTCACCACTTACCACACCTGCTTTCTTTCCTGAATCAGACACCATCCCTGAACCTGATCCCACTTTTGTTCAACCTCAATCACCAGAATCACCCTCACCTTCCTTACCTTCCTCACCACCCATAACCACTCCACAAACAGAACCAACTGCTTCCTCTCCTCCTCCTTTTCCCCCTATTCCAGTCCCACCTTCTCCCCCTTCTTCTTCTCAGCCAATTGCACTTAGAAAGGCACCTCGTGCTCCTGTCAAGCCTGTCAAATATAATGATTATGTCATGCACCAAGGAACCACTAATTCAAAAGTTTCATATCCAATGGTTGCTTGCTTGTCATATGAACAACTGTCCAACAACTACAGGAAGTATGTTTTAGCAGTGGAATCCACTGTCATTCCTGGTTCTTTTGAAGAGGCAGTTAAAGAAGAATACTGGAGAAGGGCTATGGATTTGGAATTGGAGGCACTGGAAGCTAATCACAACTGGGATTTAGTTCCCAGGCATGCTCATCAGAAGGTTATTGGTAATAGGTGGGTGTACAACATCAAGTTCCAGACAGATGGTACCATTGAAAGGTACAAAGCAGATTAGTGGCTAAGGGTTTTACACAAATTTATGGTGTTGATTTCCTTGACACTTATTTTCCCGTGGCTAAGTTAAACACTGTCAAAACCCTATTATCAGTGTTAGCAGTAAAGAATTGGGACATGTACCAACTAGATGTAAGTAATGCTTTCCTCAATGGTGACTAGAAGAAGATGTTTACATCATGGACTATCAAAGCCTGGATATGTTTGTAAATTGAAGAAATCTCTCTATGGTTTAAAGTAAGCATTCAGGCAATGGTTTGCCAAGCTTACATCAGTTTTACTTGACTTTGGTTATACACAATCTCAGAATGATCATTCCTTGTTCCTTCATCATTCTTCTGCTGGTACTTCAGTTCTTCTGGTTTATGTTGATGACATCATTATTGTTGGGGATGATTAGGGGTGGCTATTTGGACCGGGACCGGATTAAAAACCGGAAACCGAACCGTATAACCTGGACCGAGACCGGACCGGGACCGGATAGTAAACAATCCAATCCAATCTTTGGGCTTAGATTTGAGATAAAAAAAACCGGATAAAGACCGGATAAGAGAGCTCAACACCCAAAACTTAAGGGTAATTTTCATAAACGGTCACAAACCTTTGCACTTAGTACAAAACTTAACCAACTCCTCACCCTTTAAGGCCTTAAGCCACTCAAATCCCACAATCTCAATGTAAAATCAAGACCGAATTGGGACCGGACCGGATCAAAACCGGCCCGGATCAAGACCGGACTGTATCCAATCCAATCTTCGGTCCTTATATTTTCAAAAAGACCAAACTGGACCGGATCAATTTGGGCCAATTTAACCGGACCGGACCGTATAGCCACCCCTAGGGATGATGTTCCAAGTATGCAGGCCCTGAAAGCACATTTGAGTGATCAGTTTAAGCTTCGGGATCTTGGCCACCTTCACTACTTTCTTGGCTTGGAAGTGGCAAGATCCAGGGAGGGATTACATATATGCCAAAAAAAGTATTGCACTGACCTCATCACTTATGCTGGGTTTGCTGATTCTAAACCAGTAGTGACTCCCATTGACATGAAGACACATCTCTCAGCAAATGATGGCCCTCTTTTGGATGATCCAAAGTTGTTTAGAAGGATTGTTGGTCGATTGCACTATTTGATCATTACTAGGCCAGAGATCACTTTTGCTGTTCAGCAACTCTGCCAGTACCAAGCTGCACCTACCACAACTCATAAGCAACTAGCCTATAGAGTTCTGAAATACCTAAAAAACGCACCAGGTCAGGGTCTCTTTTATCCCTCATCATCTGATCTTAGAGGTGAGAGAAGGTTTGGCAGATCTTTAAGCCTCCATGTTTACAGCTGAGGTGAGAGAAGGTTTGGCAGCATCAATGAACAACTGAGATTTTAGTTTAAATGTTAGTGCACCATTGAAAGAAAAGTTATGGAAGAAGGTTGAAGTTGAACGTTGACCTGATGGAAGAATAGCCATTCTAGTTTGTCAAGATATGAAAAGCAATTAACGTTCAACACTTCTTCCAAATGCATATAATTTTTATGTCTTTCAATATTACTTGCCCTAGCCACGGGTATCGATTCCAGTATACATTGAAAAGAGAGGTCACATGGAAATTTCTTTTTTTTTTCTTTCAAATTTATAACCATCGACATCCAGCGTCTTTGGAGTTACACTTACACCATCTCCTACTGTCATAAAAGGGGCTTCTCAGTTCTCATTGGCCTGTACTAAGTAAGATAAGGGGGGAAAAAACATTTCCATCCTGTCCGCCGTACAACATCAATAGCAACTCACAATCACATTCTCCTGCGATCAACCCCCCTGGGCCCTGTCGGTGCGAGGGGAGGCGAAGTATTAGCATCCCCGTTCTCTTTCTAATCCCGTCTCTTCAACCCCTATTGATATGTTACTCACATAACAGTAGCAGAGCGCATTTGCAGGCAGCCCCAGCGCCAAGTGAGTGACCCCTCCTTCCTTTTCTTCACAAGGAAGGAGATCCCCCAAACAAAGAAACAAAAACAAAAACAAAAACAAAAAACAAGGAAAATGTGTTCAGAAAAGGAAGAGGAGATATCATCCTGGATTAGATTTCCTTTCTTTACAGCAGTACTTCTACTAGAATATCTGGAAGAACAAACTGGTTGATCCATCTCCAAATGACCTCAGATCTGCAGGCTTCACCGTAGCCCTGCACAACGGGCATGTCCTTTCCCTTTCAAACCTTCAAAGCAACCCAATCACCAAGTCAGATGTTTAATTCAGGAACACATCTTAGCAAATAAGCATCATGCTCGAATTTACTCACCATTCTGACACACAATCCTCACAAAAAATGTGCTTACAGCGAAGCAGAATAGGGGCATGCATCTTCTCCTGGCATATAGCACACAAATCCCCAGCCGCATTAACCTGTCATTAACACCACAAACTATCTTTAAGTAAATGGAAAGCACTCTGTTTGGCGCACAAGGAAACAAAGTTTCAGCAAGTTGGGTACACTAAGTGATGGGAAACTATAAAGATAAGACACGCCTCATAATACATATGACGGAAACGCACTGCTTTCACAGAAGGAACAAGAGACAAACGAAACAAATACAACTCATCTACAGACAACATTTTCGTCCAATGTTCATTCCATAATTCATGAGAAGTATCACCAATTCCACTGGTCATTACATACTTCAAACCACAGATAAAGCACTAAGAAAAACTAATGATGGTTTGTCAATATTAACTGCATAGGCATTCAAGCCATCAGCTCATAAAAGGGAATATACTATGGCAGTAGTTCTAGGAACGGACAGCCTGCCTAGACACCCATACTTTATTTGGGACAAGAGAAAATGGCTCTGTAGCAGTGAACTTCCCTTCCGTTTTCTTCATCATGCTCTGCATGCCTAACATCTAAGATGAACCAAACAATACTAAACCGTCTTGATCCAGGTTCGGAATTCTAAAACTCACTGGAGAAGGCTACATAATGCAGTAGTACATCCTTATAAATGATGCCCAAAGCTATATCCTGGTGCTGCTTCGGACAAAAGGAAGAAATCTAATGAAGTATTAGGTAAAAACTAAATCCTTCAACTAAATCCTACAACTTAATAAAATGAATCCATATTTTGTACCCCAGAAGGTTCCACGTATTCCAAGCCATTTTTGTAGCCTAGAGAGCATTGGTAAAGAAGTTTGATCTACAGTATCACATATAGTAGCCATGCAAGTTACTCCAGGGAAAGTAGATCTGACTATCCGTACTACCTGCTCAGATGTTGCATAAGCACCATAATGCACCTCTTTGCGAGACAACGCCTTCAGGGCAGCAAAGAAAGATTGAACCTGTAATCAGCAGGGAAAGAAAGCCAAGTATTAAAGCAAGATGAAAGATAGGTGTAAGATGACATGGCTGGTTATGTGATGGAGACTCCGTGACAAAAGAACCACTAATCCTCCCCAATTACACCAACATGGAGAAGTAAGATATGGACATGCACAATCGGAAAGATCATTACATAACTTACATACCTTTTCCACAACAGATGTTAGCTTGAAAGTTAAGTAGAGCCCGGTCATTAATGAGGAAAAGAGGCTACCGTACTCCTTGTTCAGAAAGAAGCGGTACCACACTGGCGTAGGCAGCAGAGCACGATACAGGAGCATCAAGTATTCAACCAAAGTTAGCATTTGGCCCTGGAAATTAAAAATTGCAAGGTACAAGTGAGTGAATATAACCACTAGAGATCCAAAATCCAGTGCCCGTTATGTCTAGCCTTACCTGTCTACGATAATTTCGCCCTCTACTATTCTTGTAGTACATCAAAATAAAGCATTTGAGCACCATTGCACCCTGCCTCACCAGAGTATCTGCAAATTGAGGAAGCCTGAGAAACCATCCAACTCACACAAAAGAACAGTAAAGGCTGAAAATATAATACAAAATGCACAGGAAAATAGAGTTCAATGCCACTGACATGACAGATAAATTCAAGGTTCGATAATCAAATATATGGACAGACAGCATATTTTTAGCAATATTAGGTTACAAAGAATCAGGCACTGTAATTGGAAGTAATCACATTAATGAATTGAGATGAGCAACTCACCGTTCACCATGATGATGAAAACAGCGTGCCAAAAAGGTGGTATAGATTTTGGTGGAAGCATAAACAAAGGGTAGAGAAGATCATCATTCTGATACCACCAATAAACACCAACAACATGGAGTGTGAATGCCAAGGCAATGGCAGCTAACACAGAGATTTTCCTCTCGCCCTGCAGCACCAACGAGGGTTTAGTTCAAAATGATGCCATTACCACCATATGGTTCACATCCACGGTATATGTAATGTGATGCCTAAATTACCTTCAGAGCTGTCTGTTTCCGAAGAATGTCATTGGATTTGAACATGACGACCGCAATCCAAATGGTGACAAAGAAACCTGTAAGTCCACTCAGAATGTCACAATCTCATCTGACATGGAAGAGGGAAAGACAATACTGCGCCCAATTAATGGCGGATACAAGCTCACTGGGGCAACCTAATCTACTCAGCTGGGAGGCGATGCAAGGGAGGGAGGCGAGAGAGAGAGTGTAGTACCTTGCAAGTGCTGGCGGATGAAAACGACCAAAAGAAGCAAAGAGAAGGGAAGAATCTGCTCAATCCATCTGGCAGCTTGCTGGATATCATATCGCTGGTAAGAGGAATCCCTGCCGTTAGGACCAGCTGCATCAGAGGCTTCTCCGTCCGTGCTTGTGTTAGAAGTGTGGTGGGGAGAAACTTCGGGAGAGGGGCGATCGGGTCTGGAATCAGTGTGCAGGTCCGAGGTGATTCCGGAGAGAAGCTGGTGATGTTGGGCATCGGACTGAGAAGAAGGGAGCTGCTGCTCTGGTAGGAGGAGGGAGGAGGCCTCTCTGTCAGAGTCGTGATGGTCACCGGCGCCTATAATCCGAATGGAGACCTCACCATTGGTGCCTGGAGGGGACGAGGCAGGATCATCAAGGCGATGGAGATGATCCCGAGAGAGAGAGGGAGGCAAAGCACCTCCGGTTCCGGGTGGAGAAAGCTGTGGTGGAGTAGAGGAAGCGGCGGGTATCAAGGAGTCAGAGTCGGAGAGGGTTGACCTAGAGGTGCGGAGGAGGCCAGAGTACTCAAGGAGAGCTGAAATGGGAGCCTGGATGATGCTGGATGCGGAGAGCAGTCCATATCTGCGGGAATTTCCGCCGCTGGTGGTAGTTCCTCCGGAAGAGACTCTATAGGGGTCGGAATTACCGCCGGAAGATTCCATGAGACGGGATGCCCTAACCCTTTTGTAAACAAGGTGAGTTGGATGATATCACTCTTAATGGGGAATTCCAATTCAAACAAGGAAAAAATGAACAAGGTGTACACTGTACAAGAACAAAAAGAATGAAAGAGGGAGGAGACGATGAGATTACCTTCTTCGAAACCGGAACTCCGTGGAGTAGCTGTCTGGTTGTGATTCTTCGATGAAAGACTTCCTCCGTCCTTTTGCCCCTTTCCCTTTCCCTCCCCTTTTCCCTTTTCCCTTCCTTACGAAAGAAGGAAAGAGAACGAACGATCCAAGGAACGAAAACCCTAACCCCAACGCGAGCGAGCGAGCGATCAATCAATTAATCTAGGTAGAGAGGCGGCAAGAAAAGTCAATGATGAAAGCGCGGCGAGAGTAGTATGATCATCGGCGATAGCTAGGATTGGAACAAAATCGCCGGCCACCGTTAGCGCAATCGCTCCCGGAAATCAGGGAGGGCAAAGGAAGGCTGGCTATGGTGGTTTCGTTCCCCAAGTTGGATTGGATGAGGAATTGATTTTGGGTGGGGAAAGAGGACAAACTGCCAAAATGTAGCACCTGATCTGGACCTCTCTCCTTTTCTATATACGCGTGGTAATTGGTGCGAGTGCGAGAAAATAACAAGGAGAGAAAGCGAGGGAAACCCTCCCCTCCCGCAAACAAAAAAACAACAAAGAAAATTATACAACAAAGATGAATTTGAAGAAACCAAAGACGACGGAACAGGAAAGCAAAGGGAAATATCAAATATTGAAGAGACTAGAGAGACTAGTCAGATGGATGGGACAAAGGGCGGCCGAGGTAGAAATGATGAACGACTCTCTTACTCGGCAGCTTTACACTAATAAACTGCATTACTCAGATAATTGGGAGGCAGGATAACAAAGAAAAAGGGAAGAAAGTTACGGCATTAGCTTATCGATTCGTGGACCGAGAGCAAGAACGGGAACGCAAAAATATATATTCTTCGAGAATTATAATTTCAGAGCGTCCAAAGAGCGTGGATATTCTCTTATTTTAATATAAATATTATTTATTATACTAACATAATTTCGTCAAAGTACTGTCACAACCTTGAGGAAAATAAAAATAAGGGTAAATACCAGTGTTGTTAAAGCTGAGTCGAGCCGGTGGGTCGGACCGGTAAAACCGGCACCCGGACACCAGCCCGGCTCGGAACACTCTAAAAGCCACAACGGTCAGAAAAGGCGGTTGGTAAGCGGTCTGAACGACTAACCGTTCGAACCATTCAAACCAACCAACCGGTTCTTATTCCAACCGTCTAATTAAAGGAACAAAGGGACGCGCGTGGGGTTGGGAAATTGCACTCATCAATTCCTTCTCTTTTCCCGACTCAAAGCCCAAGGGCCAACTCTTCCTGTTGGAAGCTGTGTAACAATAAATTATTAGTGCTTTTTTTGTTGTTGTTTCTAATTGTAATTATTAAATTATTAGGGCTTCACAGGCCAACTCTTCTTTCTTGAATATTTGTTAAACATTAAGATACGTGAAGATTAATAATGTTAGATGGATTATGTGTAGAATTTTTTATTTTAGGTCTTAAGAGAAATTAACATATTTGGATAGTTTATGTGAGATTTTAGACTTAAGAAGTTTTAGTGCACATGTTTTAAATTTGTTTAAAAATAATGCAAGTGTGTGGTACTTATAATACTTGTTCACGTACGAGGCATCGGTTTGTTATCGGTTTTTCAACGGTTTAATACCGGTTAAACCAATAAAGTGCGAACCGTTCACTATAACGGTTCATACTCCGGTTCGGTTCTGACAACATTGGTAAATACAATATATTAGCCACAACTATTATGAAGCGGGGAATTATAGCCACAGTTATGGAAATTTAAATTATTAGCCAAACGTTAACTATCTATTAACAATTTCGTTAGTAATACGGACTAAACTTTTATGTTTTAAAGTTATAAATTAAAAGCATTCTGACGTGGCCGCTGTCGTGGCCGATGACGTGGCCTTCTTCGTCAAAAATTCAATAACAGTAACAGACAGTTAGTCATATCTTGACCCACAACAATAGTTATGGCTAATAATTTGAATTTTCATAGTTGTGGCTATAATTCCCCGCTTCATAATAGTTGTGACTAATATATTGTATTTACCCTAAAAATAATGTTAGTAGGTGATTTGAATACTTCACAAGCTAAAAAAACACAAAGTTTACTGCCTTTATATTGCCTATTTGCCTGAAAAGAAAAAGAAAATAACATAATAGAAGGGAATTGAAGCTTGGAAACGTGCTTGTTATTCTCCATGGAATGAGCCTGTTCTATTCCAAGTAATTTAAGGCCTAAATTACTGCAGCGAGAGGCCCAATCTATTAAACCCTACTTGTTTCTGTTCGTCACCAATAAATGTTGCAACTTTATCTTTTACAGACGACAAATGCCATAGCAGGCTGTAGCCTCTTCTTATTCTTCTTCATTTTTTTTAAGAAGATAGACCCAAGGCATCTAGGTCACATTAGTAATAAAACGTTCACGGAAGACACCCATTACATCATGGCGAATCCATTGGACAAGATCCTTGTCGTACACATTGAAAGGATGTGTACCAAAATCATAATTGTGAGCCTTGCTAGCCAAGTAATCGGCTGCGAAATTGGTTTCCCTATACACATGAGACAAACAAACATCCCATTGTAGGTTCAAAAGACAATTAAATTGTTTGGCGATGTTGCCATGTTGATGGTCATCATGAATTCTGTTGTTGATGATCTTGATAGCTGTTGTTGAGTCTATGTTGAGCTGTATCTTGCGATATCCTTCCTTCAAAGAGATCTTGAGCCCCTCCATCGCTCCCCTTAGCTCAGTTGTTGTGATAGAGCAGTACCTAAAGTTGCAAATGTATGCTATAAGGCATCTTCCAGTGTGATCTTTGAACAACCCTCCAGCAGCAGCTTTGCCACTAGGAGAGAGTATCAAACCATCAAAATGAATTTGAATCCATCCCTCTTCAGGTGGTTTCCAACCAATAAGACAGTCCTGCTTATTGCTTGTGATAGATGAGCAGGTCTTCTGTATGTTCTGGTTCGCCTGTTGAACAATGTTGAACCAAGCTTGTATTTTAGCAACTAGGCCATCTCTAGAAAAGGTTCTGCCCTCCATCACCTCTTCACATCTCTGTTTCCAAAGCTTTCAGCATATAATTCTGAAATCATTTGCAGATGGCTCATGTATGAAATTGAGGGAAAGTGAATAAGTGAAAGGCATGCTTCTGTTCCTGGTGATATCTCTTCTCTGGAATTTCTCCCGTATTCTTCTCGGTTTGTTGCAGTTCCTCAGAATATGCTCAATGGTTTCTTCTTCCTCTTTGCAGTGGTTGCATAGGCTGTTTGTTGTGAGTTTCCTTCTTGTCATTTCTTTGTTGGTAAGGAGTCTATCATGGGTGAAAGACCATAAGAGGTTCTTGATTCTGTTAGGTCCCTTCCATTTCCAGAGCTCTTTCCACTTTCCATTAGTTTCCATCTCCTCCACATCAGCTGCAAGGTTGTAGGCTGACTTTAAGCTGAACCTGCCATCTTGCTCAAGTCCACAAAAGGTAGTGTCCTCTCCAAGCTTAGGGTCAGGAGCTTCCACACCTGCAACCGAGAGGATATCATTAGAGAGGTACATGATGAGTTTTCCCCAGTTCCACTCACCTTCCTTTGTTGTCCATTCAACCACCAAAGAGTTCTCCTCCTCAGTGATGTCAATGATAGCATGATCAGCAAGGATAGTGTCATTATCAATCCATGGCTGCAGCCAAAAGAGGGTTGATCTCCCATCTCTAATGTTCCAACATGTGCCCGGTTTTATCAAGTTCATCCCTTTGACAATAGTCTTCCACATATTAGAATGATTGCTCTTCTTCATAGTCAAGATTTTCCCATTTTTCTGCTTGAAGTACTTCCCCTACAACACTTGAACCCACAAGCCATATCCATTGTTGAGCATATTCCACCCAAGTTTGATCATATAAGCCATGTTCATTTTCCTAGCCGACTTAAGACCAAGATCACCTTGTTCTTTAGGCTTACAAATATTCTCTCATAAGACCAGGTGGGGTTTCCTTTGTCCTTCTCTGGATCCCCACACAAAGTCTCTAACTTTCCTGTCAACAGAATCACAAATAGATGTAGGTAGGAAGGTGGTCTGCAAAGCATAAGTAGGGAGAGCATTGAGGAAAAAAATAGCCAGGGTGACTCTACCAGCAAGTGACAAGGTTCTGGCTTTCCAAATGGTTAACTTTTGGTCGATCCTATCAAGAATGTATTTATATGTTGACTCAGTAATACAACCATGAATCACTAGAACCCAAGATACCTCCCTAGGTCAGAGGTAGCTTGTATTCCAAGTCTATTACAGATCTCAGTCCTAGTTTGATTCTTGACATTCTTAGAGAAAACCACTCGAGACTTCTTCATACTAATAGAATCTCCTAAGGCAACACAGAAACAGTCTAAGCACTTCATGACAACATCAGCTTGTTGGGGGTTAACTTTCACAAACGAAACCAGGTCATCAGCAAAAAAGAGATGTGACAAAGCAGGTCTCTCTAGAGAGAGTCTAATAGGATTCTATATGTGATTACTCACTTCACTAGATATGCAATGACTCAATCTTTCAACACAGAGGGTAAAGAGATAGGGTGAGAGAGAGCATCCCTATTTAAGGCCTCTAGTGGGAGTGAAGTTGGCAGTCTCTCCTCCATTCTACAACACTTTATAGCTAGCAGTTGTGACACATTCCGTGATCAGCTTAATACATCCTTCTGGGATTCTAGCAGCTCTAAGTGTTTCTTCAAGGAAGTCCCATTCGATTCTGTCATAAGCCTTTGCAAGGTCCACTTTAAGAAGCATGTATCCTTTCTTTCCACCTTTCATGGACATCGAATGAATTGTCTCCTGCATGATGATAATGTTATCAGTAATGTGCCTATTAGGAATGAAACTAGACTAGTTACTGTTGACCAGTTGAGTCATCTTTTAAGTTTTTTAGCAATGAGTTTAGCCACAACTCTGTATCCCACATTACATAGACTGATAGGTCTTTATTGACTCATAGAGGAAGGGTTATCAACTTTGGGAATCAAGGTTAGTAAGGTCTCATTCAGAGATTTGATTCTGCTGGGGTCTCTAAAGCAAGAAGCAATGGAAAAGGAGAAGTCCCTTCCCACAGAATCCCAGCACATCTGGGAGAAGAGGGCATAAAATCCATCTTTTTTGGTGCCTTAAGCCCATTCATTTCCATAGTAACGCCTCTAATCTCCTCGTGGTTGGGAAAGAAAGACAACTTGGATAGCAAGTTATCATCAATTATAGGAAAGTTTGCATGAAGGGCATGTCTAACAATCATCACTGATTTACTAAAGCGTTGCAAGAAATACTCCCTGACCATGGTGAGAAGGGTGTCAACATAGTTGATCCATTGCCCTTGTTCATTATAGAATGTGATTTTGTTAATCTTCCTTCTGCTTAGGGTGCTTGTATGAAAGTACCTGGTGTTTAGGTCACCATACACCACCCAATTGGTCCTAGACTTATGTGTTGCTCTTTCTCCAGTGATCTAGTGGTGGTCTACTCTCATTGAGAAATTCCAGGGACTTCAACTCATTCATAAGCTATTTCTTCCTTCTGAAAATGTTACCATAAACCTCATTATTCCATTTTTGCAGTTTCTCAGCAAAGTGCTGCAAAACTTGAGGAAAATCTCCTCCACCATGCCAGGTGGACTTCAAGAACTCCGGGAAGTTCTCATGTGCCAGGCATGAAGCAATGGAATGGGATCTTCTAACCAGTTTCTGCTTTGCCGATTCAGTTGATGTGCAAGTTAAAATCAGTCTATGCTCTGATTTAATCTTGGGAAGGTGGAAATTAGTTGTAGCAGGGAATTTATGTTTCCAGCTAAGATTGCAAAT